TTTATTATTACTTTATTTTTTTCTGTCTACCTACCTGAGGTATCTAGTGGTATTTTTAAACTACTTTAAAACAGGCCACGATCACTTATTGATACGTCATTAATAATTTATTACTTATCCTGATCTAAAAATTTCTTATTCCGTGCTTTGGAGTTGATCGAATGTAGTAAAAATTTAGGCCTGCTATTACATGCGAACAGTTTTCACCTTCTTTGTCGCTGCCGGCGAGATTGATGATTTTCTAACCGATGATCTCGCTTCTGAACAAACAGAGCAGATGTGATTGTGTCTTCTAGTGTCGGAACCTGGCGGTGCGGTAAACCAAAACTGCATCATCTGTTCCTGCGTCAGTTGTATGTTGTTTCCAGAACATTTTAAATAAAAGTGGGGTAGAGAATGGAATGGGAATGAAAATAAATAGGCCTGTCTGCAAGTATGAAGAGGGCGGAACCAATGGTCAGCGTGTGTTATGAAATTATTGCTGTGTAGAGTAATTGCTTTAAAGTAAAACCCATAATAGATATATAAATAATTAAATAACGAAGGAAAGAATTAAAATAATAAGGAGTGGAGGTAATAAGGAAGATAATAAATAAATATAGGAAGGGAAGACAGAGAGAAATAAATAAATAATAAAAACAACTTTTGTCTCCTTTGAGTGCAGTATCTCTACTGTTGTTTACAACATTAGATTGGAGCGAACATTTTGATTATTGTTCTTAGAGTATGAAATGAAATACCATGGCAACGAGGGTTGACTGTTTTAAGTTACGTAATATTGTAGGATTTTAGGTTTTCACGATGTAGGAGTAGGCTATCTTGTCGGCCGTCCTTCGGCAGTCATGCCTGAATTTTGAGAACCTTTATTATATTTCTGATCATTTCACCTTTCCGCCTGAGTTGAGCTCACATGGGTGTGTCTACTTTATTGTGCTGACGAGTGAATGGCCCAGCCTACGTGTTGCGATATTATGCACGCGCAGATATTAACAGATTGATTTTCTACTTGAAAGTGTAATAAAATATGAACAGTTCGTTGAGACATTCACTGTCACACCAGCACTGAATAAGTAATTAGTATGATCTGCAGTAAGTGTTCCCGAATTGAGGTTCCGAGACCGCATGGGGCTACTTCGAAGTGACTGTGGCTTGGTAAGCTGCGCTTAAAAATGCTGGCAGACTACCAATTGTTCGCATTGACTGGATATACTTTATGGATGTACATCATGCAGTACACGTAAATATAATAGCATTAGTCGTTGTTTCAGGCACGATAGTCTAAATTCTATTTGGTACTTTTAAACATGTTAACCCCTTTGAAGCCGAATTTCTGGAGGGAGGAAGAGTATATTATTATTAAAGGGTTCCCAGGCAATGCCCGCTCATCCCTCCGCTAAAGAAAGAATGAGTGTGTAGATGTTATGGCGGTAAGCAATAAAAAGCTTAAAATAAAAAATCCGCCTTCTCTATCTCAAGCTTTTGAACCCGAAGCTAGTCTAAATAATATATAAATATTTAGTCCATCCCGCAAATGAAATAAAACGCTTCTGCATTACAAGGATCAGTTGGTTATACTGTTTAAAGAAATCATTTCTGTTTATTCTGGGTGTCCAAAGGGTCCAGCTGAGTAGGAAACTTCTTCGCCTGTCGTTTTATTAAGAAAATACTGTTTCCGAAACCTAGTTTTGAAGAAAGAAGACAACGATTCGTAATACCTAAATAATTATCATGTCTATGGCAACACACCATCATAAGAAATTGAGATTTAGCATAAACCGATGTATATGTCGTTAACGTTTCGATACTCGATAATAAAGAACGGCAGTTTATCGGCCCGTAACTCCCTGTTTCAAGTTTATATCTGCTTGGTGGCAGTAGTAGGAGTGCGTTTGCTTCTGCATGTATGAACCATAAAACCAAATTGTATAATTCTGTTGATGCCGTGCCAATGTCATCACCATGCTTAATGCGAGGGAGCCACGAGACCTCGGGCACTCCACCTAATTGGCTTCTACTCTGATGATATTTTAACTATGAAAAAAGTCTAATTTCTTCAGCACTGAGAAGTTGTCTGTTCAATTTCAAGATTCGTATTAAAAAATGAAAGGGATATAAGAATGAACGACTCGACAGGGTGTTAAAATGTGGCTTGTTCTCCATCCGCTACCCCTGATTAAACTTTTATTGCCAGGAACAGCGCTCGAAGGAACGTCATGTTGAGATCCAATAACATTTCGGGGCTAATTTTGTATTGGACCGAACGTCGGGGTGTAGTGGTTGGCATTCATTTTTAACATTATGGAATTACCCGGTTTAATTATTTGATTCTTATGTAAAAAGATAATGCTGAATGGTGTGTAAGGATCTCATATGAGACGTAATCATTTTGTACTTCGACGTTACATAATATTTGCAGCAGAGAAATCATCGTAAAAAACAGTCGAACCTTAAAACAGCTCAATACCGCTTTCTTTTATCTCCTTTCTTGTTCTCTTAAGATCATTGTTCTGAGAGGTTCTACAATACTCATTATCCAAGGTTTAAATGTTAATGAATCTTCTCTGACATCCTGGGCTCTAACATCTCATACATCCCATACTTATGCACTACCTGCAAATAACACGCCATCGCAATGACAGCTCTTGTTACACCCAAATATAGCCAATAGAATATCTGAACGTTGTTAATTGTCTATAATATTTGTTTGTAGCTTAACCAAACCACGAAAGTAAGTCAGAATCGTTCCAGTTTTTCGTTTTTCATTGTGTTAGCTGGGACGGTTGACATGAACGCTGCACCCCTGTTTAGTACCATTTCCAGTCGCACTCATCCTCATTTTGCATTATTTTAAGGAAACAAAGCGAGTGATTTGACGTTGTACCTTAAATCTTATTTTACTTGGCAATTGAGGTCAATAGCCGGGTTTTAGGGTCATTTGGACGTAGTGAGTGGCCGGCAGGCGATCACACCCACTTCAACTGTTTCTTATCTTCATTACATGTTACCTGATATTTATATTCGTATCATCATAACATTTCACTCCCTCAATCTGCTTTATCTTGCGAATGTAAAAGTGACATACATGCTAAAGCATCCTCCGGAGGAAACAAAGAGGCTTGTATTCATTTCCAATAAATTAATCACCAATCAGGGTTTGTAATGGAGGCATGTCGTTTTCTTGCTTTGGGGTAAGAATTGAACCAGCTTAGTGTGCTTTAGAAGGTTGACCGCGATTACTCGATGTTCTTGTAGTACGACAAAGTTTTTGTTCACATCGATAAATGTATCTTGTGGCCTGTGGGATATAGGGCTGGAATAAGCTGGACTCGTTTATTTTAGAATCTTTGCGTACTTCTAGATTGCCACGTACTGTCGTCATTAAATGACGTAATATGTAAACCGTGAAGGAATATTACTGTACTCAGACACACATTACGGGAAGTCAGAAATTATTTCTCTTGTATTTCTTTAACTGTTACCTCAAAAATAATGTTACATAAGAGTTACGAATCCTAATGAGCTTTACTGTTTCGTTAATTTTATAAATTCGAACAATTATCCGTTCTTGAGAAAAGAAGGAAGTTCGATTTGAGATTCAAATATTGTATGATTAATGATTAATCGGTAAAATTAAAGTAGTTTGATAACGTTTGTGAAAACTTCCACCAAATTTATTTTTTCGAAATCCGTGTCTTTTTTCAGAGATGGAACGTGCAATGACGGACACCATATTCACATTAAGGTTAATTTTATGTGCTTTGTGCATAGTAAGCAACTTGTTTTCCGGGTTGTGGCCTTATTAGGGGTTTCCATACTATCCCTTCGTCGGACTGACGTCCCAGAAGCATGTTAAATAGGGCAAGGATACAAATAATTATAGCAACATTAAGAGTAGTCCCTTTCTTTATTATCACTTTAAATTTGTCCTGTTATAACACATCTTATGCAGAGTCTCCATGGCAATTCATAGACGTACATTTAATTTGCGAAATTCTTAAATTTTGTTTCCAGGAAGTGTCAGGTTTATTGACATTGTTAATAAAATATAGTCTCCAGGAAATTTTACAAGTGTCGGAAACTGTAAATTAATCTAAGGATCGAGAATTTTAAGAATTTTTATGAACGTATTGTGTAATGTTTTTGGTGAAATACGATTACCATAACCCCCTCCCCCTCCGGAATAGGTCCACTTCCCACGACTACATCCTGAAGTCACGTCATACTGGTTGAGGAAGAATTTTCTAAGGGTATCGAAAGTAAAGCTAGAAGCAGAAGGAGCAATTTTCTTCCCAAGGATGCTGACTGCCGTCACGTATCTGTAATGGTTGAAGAACTGGTTTCTTGTGTCGTTATATTGACGACTGTCCTTATTAATTCATTTCCAATTTTGTTTTGTGGAATTTCCGAAGATAACATTAGAACTAAAGTGGATTTCTGGAGTCACTTAACTAATGAGTGGATAGATTACTGCTGTTTGCAGGAATTCTGACCAGCTACACCGGTTTAAAAGCAGTTTTATGGACTTTGGTTTTGGAAAGGCGATATAATTTTGTTGCACAGTCTTGATAAGTTGTTATGTTGTAAGCTAGATTAATGACACAGGTGAATGTTATATTATTACTGCCTTGTGGAAAGTGCTGAAAGTAGAATGAAGAAAATAACTATCGTGGCACCTGGAAGCGTTTAGTGTGATTGTCGTACATTACGAAGTAAATGGAGTAGTAGCGAAATTTTCACCTGCTAATAAAAAGTTATCTGAGGTGCAAAAACTTTAAAGCCACTAAGGATTTCTTTATGACAGGATTTTAATGTATTTGTATTGATACATTTACTTACATTTTAATAGTTCTACTAGGCCCACAAGCCGGCTACCCCATAGTTTCTCGTGGAATTTAAGCCTGTTACTGACAGTGCCGTTAATTAACGCGCAAATAAATTGACACTGAGATTTTTATATTAACCCTTTAAATACCAGTGGTAATTATATGTACCACATACTTTAATATTTAGTAACTTAATTTTTTTCCCACAGACGGGTTTCGTATGATTCCCAGAATAAATCATGACGATTTCCTTAAAGAGCATTGACAAATTTAATTATGTATGTAGACGCGTTTTGTTTCCTTTGAGGTATAAAATGAATATTTAAATATTATTTAGATGAGTTTCGATTTCAAGTGTTAATGTTCCGTCATTTTACACTTGATGTAGTGTCGTTAAATAAACCATGACCTAATAACTTACAGATGTAACTATTGGCTACATAATGCCTTTTGTAAAAGCAAAACGTGGCTTGTTGGCGAGATAGGTTTTATCTGGAAGGATTTATGCAAATTGCAATGAAATGAAGAATCATTCATGTCGCATTCGTCTGTCTCTTGTCACATGGCGCGGTGCTGACTGCAGATCCGGTACTTACCTTATACATGCCCCCCCCCTCCCCCCAATCATGCTGCAAAGTAGAACATTGCGTTAAGGTTAAATTGTGTCCCGGTTATTTTATGTCGGAAATTCGAGAAATCAAACACTAGGAATAGTTTCTGAAATGCTTTTTGTGTCATGAAGTAGTTCACTCTATACAATACAAAGACAAACATGTGTAACGACTAAGCCACGTTCATTGCGAGTTTCAAATTTTATAATTACATGCACACACACACACACACACACACATGTACAAAGGTGTCATACTTTTCAAGCGACGGACTAGGAAAGGTAATACCTGTACTTCTTACAAATAGTAATCTTATTTCCAGAACATAACGTGATATTAAGGTTACAATGAGCTGGACGCGTAGCTTGGATGGGCTAAATCCTTGTAGAATTTTTGGGGAGGAAATCTTTTGGAAAGCGGCCAGTTGTAATACTGAGGAGGAAGTGATATGATTTGAAAAAGGCCACATTAAGGGAAGTGGCTGTGAGGAAAACAGGTGGATGGAATTAGTTTAAAATCGTTACGAGTGTCAGGATTTGAATGTCCGCGTTCTATTAGCAGAGAAACATAGTGCATATTATGTTATGCAGCCTAATCGGAGAACCGAGACTTTATTTGAAAATGACGAGGTACCGCTGTTGCTGCTGCGCTGTGGTCGTCTGTTCAGGGGCAGAACCCTCTAGTGTCTGCGCTAACACTCTATGGTAACCCTCAGGTTCTTCTTGCCCGTGTCCCTCTTCCATATCATGTTGAGAAAGACTCGTGTATTGGTCAGCACCAGCAGATGGCACTTCTATCACAGTCATCTCTTTGTCAAGGTCATTGTTCCTTTGAGGCCGCTGCTCTGTTGTAGTCCCCTTGATAAGAACCATTTGCTCACCATCCTTAACTTGGTCTGTTCTGCCTACTTCTTTAACTTCTTCCGCCTCGAGGGGAAGCATAACAGTGGTCTCACAGCCAGTACTGTTGCTACTGTCGCCTCCTGAAGATCGTCGTTTGTTGAAATCCCCAACAGACAAAAACGCATCGCCTTCGGTAGGGAAGAGAACGGACTCACAGTATCGTCCCATTGCTTCTCTTTCCGAATCTGGAGGAAGCTGGATGTAGATGACGTCATCAGTAGGGTCGGTGACGACAACCATGGAAAGCAATTCATGTGGGTTCACTTGTGGCTGTTCTAGGTTGGTTTTGTTAGTTGAAAGGGGCAGGGAATTCTTAGTCCGCATTTGAGTTTCCGTGGAGCTTTCAGGGTTCTTGTTGGGAGAAGTTTCAATGCGAGCTGACAGAACTTGAGGCTCGTTTGGATCACAGTGGCCTCTCTCGTCGACCTTGTTGAAGCATTCGTCGTCGCCTGTCGTCACAGCCCTAGTCTTACTCCTGCAAGTAGTAAGAAACCTTGCATAAAGTTTGTTTACAACGCAACTTGGGTTTATATATTATAAATATTAATAAGTTAAATCATAGCGTCATTGTTGCATATATTTTGAGATATTTTCTATAATCTATGTAACGTGAGACGTGAGGCTAGTAGAACCTTTAGGACTAAGAAAAGGGAATACCTGAAGGGCAAAATTGCTGAACTTGAGACAAATAATAAGGAAAAAAACATCAGAGACCTGTACAGAGGCATTAATAACTTTAAGAAAGGATATCAACCCCAGACCAATTTGGTAAAGAATGATAGTGGCAATTTGCTTGCAGATCCAATAAAAATTGTGAATAGGGGGAAAAATTTCTTTAGCGAGCTCTTAAATGTTCATAATACTGGTGATATTAGACAGATTAAAATGCATACAGCGGAACTGTTGGTGCCAGAACCTAGCTTAGATGAAGGGGAACTAGCCATTGGGAAGTTGAAAAGTTATAAAGCTCCAGGAATTGATCAGATTCCGGCCGAATTAATTAAAGCAGGTGGCAAAGGGTTGCATATGAGGATCCATAAGCTTATTCAGTTAATTTGGGATAAGGAAGAGATGCCACATCAATGGAAGGAATCCATAATTATTCCTATTTATAAGAAGGGGGACAAGACTGAGTGTGGTAATTACCGAGGAATATCGCTGCTATCAACCTCATACAAAATTCTATCCAACATTCTTTTGGCAAGATTAACCCCATATGCGAATGAAACTATTGGGGATCATCAGTGTGGGTTCAGACGAAACAGATCAACGATTGATCAGATCTTTTGCATTCGTCAGATACTAGAGAAAAAATGGGAGTTCGGTGGGACTGTACATCAGTTATTTATAGATTTCAAAAAAGCCTATGACTCTGTGAAGAGAGAAGTGCTATATAATATTCTTATTGAATTTGGTATACCAAAGAAGCTAGTGGGTCTAATAAAAATGTGCTTAAATGAAACCTGCAGCAAAATTCGAGTAGGTAAATATGTATCTGAGACATTCCTCATCAAGAACGGTCTAAAACAAGGAGATGCTTTGTCTCCCTTGCTCTTTAACTTTGCGCTAGAATACGCCATCAGGAAGGTCCAAGGTAGGCAGGAGGGTTTGCAATTGAACGGGACACATCAGCTATTGGCATATGCTGATGATGTTAATTTATTGGGGGACGATATAAATACAATAAAGAGGAACGCAGAAGTTTTACTAGAGGCTGGTAGACAAGTGGGGCTGGAAGTAAATTCAGAAAAAACTAAGTACATGTTAGTATCTCGTCATCAGAAGACAGGCGGGCAAAATTATCTTAGGGTAGCTAATAAATCCTTTGAAAGGGTTACAAAGTTCAAATATTTGGGAACAACAATAACAAATCAAAATGATACTTGTGAGGAAGTTAGGAGGAGACTAAATTCCGGAAATGCTTGCTACTTCTCAGTCCAAAATATTTTGTCTTCCCGTCTGATTTCTAAGAACCTGAAAATTAAAGTATACAAAACAATAATCTTGCCTGTTGTTTTGTATGGGTGCGAAACATGGTCTCTCACTCAGAGGGAGGAACACAGATTGCAGGTGTTTGAGAATCGGGTGTTGAGGAGGATATTTGGGCCTAAGAGGGAAGACGATGGGGCGTGGAGAAAACTGCACAATGACGAGCTTAAAAATCTGTACTGCTCCCCCAGTATTGTGAGGGTGATTAAGTCGAGAAGAGTGAGATGGGCGGGACATGTAGCGCGCATGGATGGGACAAGAGGTGTGCACCGGGTACTGGTTGGGAAACCTGAAGGGAAGAGACCGCTGGGGAGACCTAGACGAAGATGGGAGGATAATCTCAGGCGGGATCTATGGGAGATAGGAGTTGAAGGAAACTGGATTTTGTTGGCCCAGGACAGGGTCCGGTGGAGGGCTTTGGTTAATTCGGTGATGAACCTTCGGGTTCGGTAAGCCATCTAGTTAGTTAGTTAGTTCTATACATTCATCCCAGTTTTCTCGTGAGAACCCGAAACCTCGGTTGCTAAGAACGTATGGCGTGCCACAGTGCAATCTCACCTTTTCCAGCGCGGCTGCAGTTGAATGGGTTTCTCGACGAACTTGGGATCGTCGTTTGCGTCATATATACCGGCGACGTAGGACGCTGCCAGAAGAGCCGATCCGAAGTGGTGAGGATGTGCAGTGACGAGGTGTGCCCGAAAATCACGAGCCAGGTTAGATTTGAACGCATCCCCTGTTTCGCAGAACCTACATTCATACAGATGTTTCCCGGGATGTTTGCTGGTCGACAGAACGTGTTTTCTAAGGTTCTCCTGTGTACAAAAATATACGCAAGCATACACAATAAAACATCTCAAAAACTGCTGGAAAGAGAAAAATTTCGGTGCCCAATAGCTTTCAAAACAACCAGTTAACTAAGGGGTATGGTAGCTACGTTTAGTAGTCCCGAAATTCATGGAAAATGTGGGCAGTTTATTCGGTATAAAAATGACTGCCTTCTGGTTTGTTGCGTAGACGTTTGACGACGTTTGACAGACGCTTCCATCACCAGGGCGATCGCCCTGATAATGGCAAGCAAATAGATTTTAGATCAAAAGGAATCTAAGGACAAAAATACAATATATAGGCCCTCTGTTACATTGAACAACGTGTGGTAGTTTACTTAAAGTCTAATTCAAATGGTTGTATACTCATGATAAAAATACTAGGTAACTAATTACATTAAGCAGAGTCCTGCATGTAGTACGTTCTACGTTCAGCTTTTTATGGATTGAAATTTCAGTACGGTTTTTCGCAAGATCCCGCCTTAGGTCTTGTCCTGAATCACATGATTCCAAACCACACCTTCCAACTCCATTTCTCTAAGCTCGATTTTAATATTATCCTCCCATCAACTGCTAGATCCTCCTAGTGGTCTTCCCTTCAGGCTTTCCAACCACATTTTCATCTTCTTCATGCTACTATACATGCCCCTCTCGTCTCGTCTTCTTGTGTTTCTTTTTTTGTTGCTAGAGATATTTAGTTAAGAGTACAAATTATCAAGCTTTCATGCAGCACACATTTCGTGTCGTATTTTAGGTAAGTCTTTTGATTACGTGTGAGTTTCATGATCACGTTTTTATACATATTTTCCAAAGTTGCAGGTACGAGAAACTTCGAAATTACATCATGTCTGTTTTCATTACATCAGCTTACCCACTCTCTTCCCAGTCTTGTGCTTAGATATTTTGAAGCTATTAAGGCAGTGTCATTGCAGTGTATGAAATACGATAATAACAGTCGCAAGACACGTGTTCTTCACACTCATCACGCGTCTGCAAACGTGATGATAAAAAGTACCCCACTTAAACTTTGCATTTTGAAGATATCATCTGCGTCCTTACATTTTCATCGCATTTATTATAAATCTTATGCCTTGAAATTGGTTAATAATTTTAAATTCAATTTTCTTTCACATATACAAAGCCGCACATTGCAAGCGATACGACTCTTGCAGACGGATATTTGTTTTTTGTTTTTTTTTACTTATAATAAAGAGCGGACTCAGCTGTAGCTCGCATGCCATATCTCGCCATGAACAACACGCGTTCCACAGTAACACACTAGAGCCTGGATGTGCGGAGATTATGCACCTCTGAACACAGGAAGTGATCCTTTACCTTCCAAAATGACAGTCATAAATTCATTGATATCGAACGTTGAATATACAAGCAATTTTCCGTTCTCATTTAACTAAGCACAACTAATCTGATACGAAGGCCACGTATTAGCAAAATAATTGAGTAACCACTTAAGGTCGGAGTTGATTGACTATGTCGAGATTTAAATATGCCTACGATTATATTATAGTCTATTGTCTTGTATAAATTTGACGCCAAACACAACAGGAGCGTTCCAATGGCAGAAATCCAGCATATTTCCTATGAAGAATGCGAGGGGAATATATATATTGTTGCGATGGGGTGAGAGTTTGATTATAGGATGACAGGGGAAAACCGAGGGACTCGGAGAAAACCTGTCCTATTGCTACTTTGTTCACCACGAACATCAGGTGGACTGACCCGGGTGCGAACCTGGTCCCCCGCGATGAGAAGCCAGCGAATAAAAGCTGAGGTGCAAGGAATGTACGTTTTGTGTTGTTTTATCAAAAGGATGAAGGGTCGTGTTTTTATGTAGTGTGATATTTGTTGTGGATCGGAAAGTGATGCGTGAGGGGTGTAAGGTCCAGTATCGAATCCCGAATCACTTTGCTGATTGACCTATTAAGTAGTTTTCGACCCGAAGGCGAGGAACAAAGTTCTTTCCATCGTCTAAAGAGACAGACTGTTCATGATGCAGGTCCACAGAACCTGTCTTGTTATTCTATTGACGTGTCAAAGTCTGCATGCAGTTGCGTGCCCCATTAATACACTGGTTAAATTATGCACATGCCTGTTAGCCAGCGCATGGGATATGATTGATAGATACTTCACATAATGGCCAAATAGAAGACTGTCTGGTTCTTTGCATTTAACTGGAACAAACTGGCAGTGGCCACACAGACGTGTGTGGAGACAAGACAGTGACAAAAATCCGCAACTATTCGGTTTTTATGCATTCTTTGCCCAGAGCACATAAATTGGCAATCTGTATCCGTCCACATATCTGAGGTGATAGAACTGATTTACATGAAATTTGGGTTTTTCGCTTTATGCTAAAAGAATATTTTAATTTTGTTTCGCATTGAAGAAATGGACTATAACCCGTGGAGGGAAAATAGAAAAGCATAAGTTTGTTTAAAGACTTATTATTTGAAGTGTACATACCATAAATTAAAGACGTAATTGGGATCAATGCAGTTTTATCTGAAACGTATTTCTACATGGTAAATATTTAACGGAATGAAACGAAAGGAGCCACGTGGAAGAATTATATTAAAATCGAGATTTTGAACATGTGGTTTGGGGGTGTGAACTGGATTAATCTGGCTCAGGATAGGGACGAGTGGCGGACTCTTGTGAACAGAATAATGAACTCTCTGTATTTATGAAAGACGGACAAATTTTAGATTAGCTGAGCTCATGAAAAGCTTTTCATCAGGACTTTGCTCTGTGGAGTTAGTTTGGCCGAGTTTTCTGTGCGCAGCAACCTGGAACTCACGAGGAAATGTACTTACAAGAATGTTGCACGTGTAGGGGCAATAGGGACAGCGGTAGGGTTTGGCACCCGTGTGCAAGCGAAGATGACGCCGGAGATGTGATGCTATCCTGGCAGCGAAGGGGCAGTGCGGACATTGGTGGGGCCTTTGCACCAGATGCACTGTGTGGTGCCTGTGGGAAAATTGACAAACTTGGTACAGTTTTAATTTTATAACTAAGAAAGCGACTTAACTATGTGACTGACAAACCTAACTTTGGCTTTGGGGGATAACCGCGTAGAATGTTGAAAGTTATCCAACGTTTCGGCAATATTGCAGTTGTCATTTTCAGGGTGAATATGATAATTGCAACGTTTACCGAAACCACAAATACTGATCACTCCATCTCAACAGATACGTCACCTGAGCAACTGAGGCTTGGTTTTGGCGGAGTAGGTGCATGTGTCACAGTGGTACGGCCGGTGGTCAGAGTGCACCTGCTGATGGTTGCGTAGCTCGGCCTGAGACCTACAGGCGAAGATGCAACCCTCATGCTGACACTTGAAGTTTTTCCCAGTGTGTATCTTCATGTGTTGCTGTAGTGTGTTCCTTTGGGGCAAGAGCAGGAAGTTGCAATGAGTGTGTGTACATGTGTTGCTGTGGCTTCACATACGTACCTCACTGACACCAATGATTATTTATTGCTAATACAAATATTTTGTTGTAATGATAATTGTACTACAGACTCATTGCACAGCATTATAAATGATTACATTTTTAGTCACCACAGTCTGGAACAAATGTTATATAATTAGATGTATATTTTATACCACGTAATTTATTTTTATTTTAGTACTATTAATTTCTTTGATAAATCTGATAAACTACAGTTAGGGAGTAATGTAAAATATGGATTTTAACATTTTCAAGTCATAAAGTTATAAGAATGTTCTGCAACCGGGACGTGTAGCGGTTTAAATGCATCCACTGCTAAAAGTGCAAGGTTTTGTAAGCTGTAAAATTTCAAAGTCAGTCTCATCAGTGTCTACATATAATTTACTTTACGTAGCACTAACAGCTTCCTGATATTCATTACTTAAACCGTTACATCTTCGTCTCTTCAAATTAAAAATACCTAATACATTATAGGCTTAATGTGACGCCAATCTTAGGTCTGCATTCCTTCTGCTTAGCAAAGGAGGTAATATTATGCCGCCATTTGAATTTCTGTGTTCAATATGATAACCTTAACACAAATTACAAGCGTTAGAAAAACATGTGATCAGGAAAGTGTTTGGAAATAAGAAAAATGATGTCTGATTTGAGGTTTTCACAGCGGTGAGTATGGATATTTCTGTCTTCTGGGTTGTTGCGCCGTGTAGTATGGTAGATGTTTACCAACGTTTCAGAGGTCATACTGCCTCCGTCATCAGGGCGATGAATCGCCCTGATGACGGATCAAGGATCATTTTATGGCGGAAAGAATTTTTTGAGCTAAGAGGTGGGGATATAAGGGCCCAGAGATTATGATGTTTGTGTGGAGAGGCCTGGCAGCTTATACTTTCGGCTCCTTTCTCTTTTAAAACGAAATTACACCCATCCGAAACTACACACCCCTTCACCTCGCATAACTCTGTTAAAATGCTTCGCTCTGCCTTCAGTCTGATGTCCAGGATTTAACTTGCGCTCAGTGACAGATGTGGAACAAATTGCCTGTCGGTGCCTGCGTGCTGAAGTAGGAAAGGTGTACGCCATGTTCGTGTATCGGGGCCTTTGGGGGGTCTGAATTTCAGCAACAAACATGGGCACCACTATTACCAACATACATGAAATACGACACAAATATTCCCAACATCGTCAGCGTCAACAACATCCAATTTCATAATCCGCGCGGAGCGTCTGTTGCTATGGTAACACCGACAGTGTTTCTTAGTTACACGAGATATTACGCTGTTACCGCTGCGCTGTTGCTCCATGACGAGACAGCAGTATCTTTTATTCTCATTAGCACACTTAATTGACGACATTCTTGCGAAATGTGTTTTCCTGGTCATTAGATTTCTGTGTGCCGATAAATGGACAAGCATACACACATGTTACATCTAGGCACCTACTTTCTATAATAATATCTCATGCTAGTCTGAAAGCATTGCTAAGAGATACTTTTAATGTTCATGAACTAGCTCTCCGGTAGTATAACCTTGACGTTTATCACTGCTGCTATCAAGGATTGCCACTGAACACGTTCAAGATAACGTTTCCGTAAACTCAATCTTACCGTGTTATTTTTCATGCGTTTGTCGGTCTTCCAAGAGGTTTTCCCACTAAGACTCTAGTGTGAAATTTTTATTTCCTCTATTCGAACTGCGTGGCCATCCTATCACATGAATGCTAGGTGACTTGTGTAAATCACAGTGTTCCTCGTTATATAGTGTAATAAATTTCCCAATTAATTTAACCGTATTAGGTGCATATATTTTCCTATGCACTTTAATTTCAAAGCACTTGTGACTTAGTCTCTTCCCACAAAGTAAGAGACTGATTTCAGCTATACAATAAGCCTGGTAAATTTATACGTTCGCTTATCTTTTTAATTTTTTGAAAAGCATGTTGAATTGTAACAGTTATAAACGAATAATAGTAAAAATTTCCTGATTTTATTCTTATCTTAATTTTATCGTGAACTGTGTTTCTTATTTTGATCTCTATATATTTAAATATTAAACATTTGTAACTACCCACGTATGGCCTTATTACAAATCTTTGTTTCCAGACATACAATTTATTGAATAACACTAATATTACGCTGAGACATCAGCAACAAAATGTAAATCATTGACCACCAGTACATTCCTCTTGCAGCAACTATTATACTTGCTTACACGTGTTGCAATTTAAGATCATGCTGAATGCCAGCGCAATTGACGTTCGACTAACATTAGGACGTAAATTCGAAGGGGCTAGATGTACCAGTCTGTAGAATCTCATGTTCAGTGCACATATTTCGTACGTATCTTAATTAAACTTGGTCCTGTGTGGTCTCATGCCATGTGCGACCAGCCATGCTGGTATTCCTTCCCACCCACGGAGCGAGCGAGGGTGGATTCAAATCATCCAATTCCCATGCTTACCCTCTCTTCTGGACAGAATATGAAGTCTTGCTGGCACCACGCGATGGACACGTATTGTGTGCTGGAGGTAGGCTGCAGTCGCGTTTCGATACCTTCTGTTATTGGGAAAATTGTACAAGATGGTGACCGAGAATTTTGAGCATCATCATTCATATAGCTGAATGACTATCTAACACACAAACAACGTAACTGAATCGCTGACAGACCGAGTTTATTATATCAACTGGGTGGGGAAATAATTCAGTAACCAACTAACCAATTATCTAAATATCTGATTGAACAGGTGACTTATTTTCTGAATACCCACGTTACAAACTGAGTATGACTGACTGACACTATGAGTAAAAATGGCTGCTTAACTAACCAGTTAAATAACACGTTGCTTCTCTAACTGAATTACTTCCTGGATCAGACGATTTCTTTAGGGTAAGAGAGACACAAATTTCGAAAATATGAAAAGGAATAAACTGGTTGAGGATTAAGTCTAACGGCAGATTTTGTGACTGTGGTCATGATCCCTAATTGAATCTTGTAGGAACACTGAAAAAAGGGCAAAGTTTTTCTTGCTACTAAACACCATACCATGAAGGAGGATGCATTCTAAACCTCGGCACTAGAAGGAAGTGAGAATGTGAATTTGTGAAGTTACTTTTAACGAAAATTATAATTGGTTTTAGACAGTATGACGCAATGTAATGTGTGAAGCAGAAAGACGGATAAGTTACCATGGAAGACCGGGAAGGGCAGAGGACACAAGTGTAGAATGGATGGCGAAAAGAAAGAGGGAGTTAAAGGTACGAAAGTGATATAGGAACCGAAAGTAGGGGGAGAAATGAGGGACAAAGAAGGGAATACGATAAAGGCACGAACGGAACAAAAGAAACAAAGAAATTGTGCAATGGTATTGATACACGAATGAAATCACACCCCGTTTAAATTTAACGGGCTTTTATACTTCGCAAAAAAAAAGTTTACATTTCTTTCTATGGTTATGAGAGGATCAAGAACTAGCCGCTAATATCTAAATGCCCGGCCCTAAAAAAAAATCCAAACAGACAAACAAACTTGCTACCGGCGCGTCTCTGCCGAGGCCTGTGGATATCAGACTGTTTGCCTTCTGCAATAATAATCGATTCGGATGTGAAGGAATCCTGGTGTACATCGTGCTGTGGTTTCACCGGAAGATGGCGTGCAGGAGCGTCACGTTGCTAGACACAAACCGTGTCACGAATGTCACAGTGCAAGTGAAAAATGCCCACTAAATCACATGTACATCCCCCCTCCCCACATGCATGCATCATGCTCCTTACATATTTTAGTGCTGACACCATGGAAACTACGGCGGCTGGATAGATATATGAACAAATAGGGATCTGGAACCCGTAAACTTAAGGAGTTACATTTATGAATAGGGTTCTTTGTGAAGAAAATAAACAGCCATTTGAGTGACTTATACGTGCATCTTACATCCATATATTAAGACCTAAGAATTAAAAATCCAGTTTAATTTTCGTTGCCTGAATGTATTAACCGTTAAGTTTTGTGCACAAACAGGCTATATGGTGAGATGTCTCATCGTCCTGATGATGGAGGCAGCAAGGACCTCTATAACGCTGGTAAACTTCTACCAGACTACATGGCGCAACAACCCAGAAGACAGCCATCTTAAGAAAACTTTTATTTCCTGTTAAAGACTTAAACTGGGCTTGTTACGCAATGCGATATAATTTCTATTATTTTTCTTAACTCAATGCCTGTACCAGCCTCAAATATTTCTTTTAGCTGTCTTAGTGTTCGTCCTGCTAAGTTTGTAATTCCATCATATTTCTGTCATTCATCTGCACTAATTCTATCTCCATATTCAACTTTACTTTCGATATGAAGTTCCTAACGTATTTCAGTGTTTCTCTTTTATATGAATATGTATGTCCAGCTCAGATCTGTAAGTCCTGCTACATCCTGGTATTGTGTTATATCCCCGTATCATTCCCAATGACTGGTCACGTGTATAGTCATAAAACAGAAAATGACGACACATTCAACATATCAACAACATATACCTATGCATAATTTTCAGTTCCAAAACTGCTCATCATGGTGGCATCCCGATTTAAGACGCGGTAGCCCGCACACTGAAGTCATGGTTTCACGTCCTGTATCCAACAACCTATTACGTTTTGTACAAGTTCTTGACTTCTGCTCGGGAGTTTCCGGGCTCGCTGAAAGTTGTCCGATCAATTTAATTTTGGTTGGTGTAGACCAGTGGTATTCAACCTGGGGTACGCGTACCCCTGGTGGTATGCGAAGACATCTTAGGGGCATGTGAACGTGAGGTCAGCAGTCAAGCTAGTCGACTTTGGCTCTCTGGATCTGTTACGCCACAGATTTAATTTTTAAATTAATATATTATTTTATGATAAACACTGAATAATCAGTAATGTAATTAATTAAATTTATTTTAGATGTAGATTATATACT